AGTTCTCCTGCAAATCCCACTTCAAAAGACGCACAATCCAACAGCCAAGATGTGGAAAATGAAGGCATCGAGGAAAATGATACTTATGACAACAGTAAAACGGATAGCTCCCAAGGCAGTGGTGGTCATGACCAAGAAAGTACAAAATCAAAATCCAGTTCTGCTGCAAATTCCACTTCAAAGGACGCACAATCCAACAGCGAAGATGTGGAAAATGAAGGCAACGAGGAAAATGCTACTTATGACAACAGTGAAACAGACGTCTCTCAAGGCAGCGGTCATGACCAAAAAACCACAAAAGCAAAATCTAGTTCTCCTGCAAATCCCACTTCAAAAGACACACAATCTAACAGCGAAGATGCGGGAAATGAAGGCAACGAGGAAAATGCTACTTATGACAACAGTATAACGGATAGCTCCCAAGGCAGTGGTCATGACGAAGAAAGTACAAAAGCAAAATCTAGTTCTGCTGCAAACTCCACTTCAAAGGACGCACAATCCAACAGCGAAGATGTGGAAAATGAAAGCAACGAGAAAAATGCTATTTATGACAACAGTGAAACAGACGTCTCCCAAGGCAGCGGTCATGACCAAGAAACCACTTCAAAGGACGCACAATCCAACAGCGAAGATGCAGAAAATGATGGCAGCGAGGAAAATGCTACTTTTGACAACAGTAAAACAGATAGCTTCCAAGGCAGTGGTCGGGACCAAGAAAGTACAAAAGCGAAATCCAGTTCTGCTGCAAATTCCACTTCAAAGGACGCACAATCCAAGAGCAGAGATGAAGATAAGGGTTACAACAAAGAAAAYACTGATGAAACGGATTCCTTTCTTGGTAGTGGACATGACGTCTCACAAGGCAGTGGTAACGACCAAGAAATTACAAAAGCAAAATCCAGTTCTGCTAATTTCAATTTAAAACATACACAAGGCAAAAGTRGAGATGAGGATGCCAAAGCAAATAGYACTAATGACARCGTTGAAACAAACTTCCCTCAAGGCAGTGGTCATGACCAAGAATTTGCAAAAGGAGAGAATAATCCTGCCGCTAATTCAAAGGATCAATCCGACAGTGCGGGACAAAAAGGCAATGATGAAGATGAAGAAAGTGCTACTAACGATAACACTAAAGCAGAAGTCTTCCGAGGCAGTGGACATCACCAAGAAGGAAAATTCACATCTGCTAACAATCCCATTTCAAATGTTGCACAATCCAAAATTGGAGGCGAAGACAATAATGGCAGTGAAGAAAATACCAATAATGACGACGTTGAAACAAATTCATCCCTAGGCAGCGGTCCTAATCAAGAAATTACGAAAGAGAAATCTCCTTCTGCTACCATTACTACTTCTAATGCCGGACAACGCAAGAATGTAGAAGAAGACAGTGATGGCAATGAAAGAGATAGTGAAGATAACATCAACAAAACAGACGTCTCTCCAGCCAGTGGATTTCTCCATGAAATTAAAAACCCTAAATCAACGCCTCAAGAAATTACGACTGCAAAGGACCTTCAATCTAAAAGTGACGCTGAACACGATGAGGAAGATAATGATGATAATGATGATGATGATGATGATAATGATGTTGATGATGATGATGATGATGATGATGATGATGATGATGACGAAATTGAGGGAAGTAGTAATAACAACGCTGTGGAAACAGCACAAACTTCAAAAGTACAGTCTGCTTCAACTACGAATAAAACAATAGAAAAAGATAACATGGATATGGAAAAGAGTAAAAATTCAACRAATAAAAAATATGATTCATCAGGAAGTGGCCAAAAAGAAGAGAGCTTTATGTCATCATCGATTACTGGCGTCAAACAAAGCGGAAGCGACGCACAAAGCAAACACATTGAAAACGTAATTGACATAAATCACACAAGAGATGAGGACAACGAGGAAGATGAAGACACTGAAAATAATGATGAGCAAAAAGCAACAAATAGTATGGCACCTTCCGCAAAACCAACTGATGACCACCAACACAATGGAAAGGATGAAGAAGACAATACAGAACACCAAAGCAGTGCGAATGATGAAAGCAATGAACTAGCAAAAAACAACAACAGCTACACAGTAAACACATCTACGCCTTCTTCAGGAATCTTTAATTCAACTTCGCAACCAAAGAGCAATGATTTAAAGGGTGACAATAATGAAAGAAGCGATGGCAAAGAAATCAACAAAGAACAAATGCTGGACAAAGTGRWTAAAAGTCGTCAAGAGGGATATGACAAAGAAGGCGTAGTAAGTGATAAAACAACGMATAAACATGGAGAAGATGTCCTTGTACACACGAAGAAAAAGAAGGAAAGGACAAATGACAAGGGGGGTAATCCCCAAGAGGTTACTGGCGAAGAAGACGTTGTGAATACTAAAGCTCATGAAGAAATAGGGAGCACAATAGGTAATGAGGAGGAAAATGAAAATGATATGAACAACAGCAAAAGAAAAGATGAAAAGATGAATAACAGCAAAAAACAAAMTGGYGAAGACTCTGAAAATAATGATAATGAGGAAAGAGTTAAAGAAGAAAAGTYCAAAGCAGAAAGTGATGGTGAAGAAACTATAAACAATGTCAACGAAGAAGCAAGCACTACATCAAAGTCCTCTTCATCTGCAACAATTGAAAATGAACACAATTTTKCAGAAAGYGGAGWGAATGACAARAAATGGGATTACAGCGGTGAGGAAGACGCTACAAGAAATGATAACCACGAAGAAATCAAAGCAGCTGAARCTTCAACTCCTTCGTTAACTKCAAAAGACGAACAGAGAGAGGAAAATGGTGTAAACAGTGGAGAAAGCCCTGACAATGAAAGCGATGAGAAGGATGAAASAAATGAAGATGAAGAAAACAATAGCCTTCAAGARGAAAGTACAGCAACAACAACCAAAACTCCTACTRCTACRGCTACAGCTACTGTACAAGATGGGCAACGCATACAAAAATYCAATCAAGAAGCAAGCAAGGATAGTCTTCCGAAGATTCAAAATACAGAGCTAAAACCCAAAGCAGCGGAAATTGCCAACATAAAAAACGATAACGATAGCAGTGTTAATATATCAGTGGTTGCTAGTAACAAGCATGAACTCAGCACAGCAAATACGATTATTCCTACTGTAAGCACAAACATKAAAGATGAAGTGGTTGATGATGACGATGACGATGACGATGATTTGATTGATGAAAACCAAGAAGCAAACAATATTCCACCTGATTCAACGACAAACATGGAAAATAACAAGGGGAATGACGAAAGGAATCATAGCAGGACAGATGGTGATGCAAATAGAGTAAGTGAGCGTGAAAAGACCTCAGTTATTACCGAGCCAGTAGGAAGTACAATTCTWACAAGTGAAAACAAAGAGAAGGAAGGTTCTCATAATGATRACAATGACAACGACGACGACGACGACAAATTTGGTCAAATGAACACGGAAATAACTCAAAGTACAAACAAAGAATTAGACGAAGACGTCAATGGAAATCCAATGAACAAAAACRATGAAGAAAATGTTAGTAACGGCTTTAGTGGCGAATTGAACGAAAACAAAGATGCTACAGAGCAAGTTGACGTCGTTAAAAGAAAAWATAGCTTGAAACCCATAAAATCAAAACATGASCACTCAGAGGAGACCGAGGAAAATAGTAGTAACTATAGTGGCGATGTAGAAATTAGTAGTAGTGGTAKTGGTGGTGAATCTGGTAGTAGCAAAGCCGACGGCGAAGGGACAGATGCGGTTGGAAGCGCCCTTGCAGCCAACGAAGGAGTAAATCCCCTGAATTCAATAAAAAGCACAGGTACCCCTTCAAAACCACCAGAACTKAACAGCAAATTCAATTTTGAAGTGGAGAAAGAAAATTCTAATTCGACTATTTCTTCTTCAAAAAGTTTGAAAGCTCAGGAATTTAATAAGAAAGGTAACTTAACAGGAACCACAAAACACMCCAGCCTGAAGCCATCAGAAAATGCAGATCTTGGAAACAACGAGGAGGAAATTTTCAACGGAGAGATAATGGCTCAAAATAAGCAGGATGAAGAGGAAATACATCAGCCAGATAATTTCCATAGAAAGCTTCGYAAATTGGGGACAAAGGAAAATGCAACATCCAAGCCTAAAAACAATTATGCAAAAAATACGAAAAAGGAAAGCAATATTAAGGAGAAAAATAACGATTTGCAAAATATGAACAGGAAGAATGTTTYCTCTAAAAATAAACTTGGCAAGMAGCAGCACAAGATGAAACGGAATAATAGTATCAGYGCTAAGGCATTACAGTCAGTTCAGGCMAWWRACATTTACAAAAAAAATAAGGCTCAAAAGGGTACAAGCAATTCAATCAACAATAGTAATACAAAAAGCAAACAGAAAATAGAACCACCTCCTTTTGACAAAAGTTCCAAAAGGAAACCAAAATTAAAAAGTAACACTGCTAAGACGAAGTTATCACAGAACTTGCATCTTTCAAACAGGAAAAGTAATTCCAATTCTCRTCATCCTGGTGCACTGCTCCTTGCTGATCCCAAATTTAAGAAACGTCTACAAAGACTTAAAGTTGTCTTTCGAAAAGAGATGCCGGTGCCTGTTATTATGAAAATTAGGGGCATAAAGAGAAAGATCAACGAAAAGACAAAAGGAAAACTTAAACATAAGATGCTGAATGTTTTGATTATGCCAACTCGCTCTAAAGAAAAGAAAATACAAGGAAGAKTTTCACAAAAAATGAGAAGTCCCAACAACAAGCAAAGAAGAGTTAAACAAAATATKAACAAAAATGACARTACTAATCGCTGGACAAACAAACCTGCTAATGAGTCTTCAAAAACAATTGGTAACAGAAAAGAGAGATCTTCCAAGAGAATTAATGAAAAATTAGTCAAAGGAAAACMCCCCTCAAAATCTATTTTGAAATCTCCTCAAGACTATAGGAAAACTCCTCAAAACCATAATAAAACTAAAGACGAAGCTAGCAAAAATRCGAACAAAGCAAAACATCCGATTCAAGGGAAAGACAGAGCTCCARTCAAAGGCGGTGTCTCTCCTTTATCCTTAACTGGACTTCAAGGGGGCAAACATGAAGGCCAATCAAAAATTCAAGCAAAAACGGCAAGTCCCAGTTCTTCTCATTTATCTTCAACCGGACCTCAAGGAGGCATAAATAAAGGCCAATCAAACATTCAAGCAAAACCATCAAGTYCAAGTTCTTCTCCTTTATCTTTACCCGGACCTCAAGGAGGCATGAATAAGGGTCAAGCAAAAATTCAAGCAAAACCGCCAAGTCCAAGTTCTTGGATGAATTGGGGAAGGCTTCCTTGGTATCAYCAGCGTCCCAATACTTCAGTTGTGTCACCAGGAAAAACACCMTACAAACCCCCAACTTCCAAGCCTGCCAACGTAATTCCTCAAGGATCTAAACAACCAATGAGAGTGGGAGGAATGCCCCAATATAAGGCACCTAATTATTATCCAGGAATTTATGGAAACACGTTAGGAAGTAAAACCCCACTTCCTTCAGCAAACAAACCGAAAGTACCTCAAACTCCAAAAGCGCAACCAAAGCCATATTCCCCTCATCCRTCCCCTTACATTGCAAATAATTACCAAGCGATTAAGTACCCCCAGCAGGGCTATAACTACAATTACTATAAGTATAATTATAACAATTATAAACCACAAAACCKGTATCCATATACATTATATAATTATAATCGGTATGCAACTTATAACCATGCCAGTCAACCAAAACAGCCGATGCCACCAAGATATCCGTATACTGCAAAAAAWGCCGCTCCAAAAAAGACACAGCAAAATTTTCATATGAGACCAACCACWAAATATAATATGGGCTACTACCCTTATTTATATAATTACGGGCAAAATGTTTGGAGTGGTAAAKCAGCGCMACTTAGACTCAATGAGAGACCAAGTGAGGATTCCAAGCCATCTCCTTCTAAAGAAAAGAGCCCAATGATCCAAGCAAAACCTATAAATCCAATGACTTCATCAATGCCAGTGTATCCTTATATGGCAAATAATCTACAAAAGGCTTATCAAGGTGTRGATCAGGCTTACCAAGGTTGGGAGCATCTGAAGGGTGAGACGTCAGTAGGTTCGTATGAGCCGAGTACTACAGTCCAAGGACAAGTTGCTCATACAGGTCTCTCGCCGCAGTTGACATCCAACCCATCACCAAATTCACAACCTCAAATTCAATATGCATATGGCGGACAAGCATTATCCAACCCATCACCTAATTCACAGCCTCAAATTCAATATGCATATGGCGGACAAACATTATCCAACCCATCACCAAATGCACAGCCTCAAATTCAATATGCATATGGAGGCCAAACACCATCCAACCCATCACCAAATGCACAGCCTCTAATTCAATTTTCATATGGAGGACAAACACCCATAAATAATAAGCCATATTCCTTTCAAACCACTGATCCATCAGGCCAGTATGTTGTATATCATACGTATCAAATGGCTCGAGATTCAAATGGAGTAGAGTGCACACCAGGAGAAGATATGTCTTTCCAGGACGAATGCAATCCTTCGGCTTCAACACAACAAATATCACAGCCAAGCGTAATGCAAGTAGCCCCAAATCCAAGTGTTGCGCAAATGCCGTCACAACAAGATGTCACGCAAGTTCCCAAACAACCTAGTGTCACACAAGAGACGTCCCAGCCGACAGAAAAACCAAAAACAGAAAACAACGCAGAAAACGCCAAGCCAGATCTTAGTAAAGCAAACGATCAGGCGGAGCCTCTGTATTCGACGACGCCAAGCAGCAACTCTCAAATGGGATTTCAGAATGCAGTTTATTCCAGCCCTCTCACTCAAGGAAACATGCAAAACACTCAGCCTACAGCACCACTATACAATCCCATTCAGCCTCCAACGCGACCAAAAAGTCCATTTGATATCAGGAATTTGATGCAGCTAAGCGAAGAGAACATTGAAGATGTCTTGAAAGCTTTAGATCACGTGGAACATTACTACGTAACACGCCATGAACAGGTTCCGAGCAGGCTCACTGCAGCAATCGAGGGCGCTTCCAAAGGGGTTCTAAGCCAGTACGGCACAACTGTTGAGCTACCAGAAAAGACTCAACAGAAATTTACAGCTCCAACTAAAACATCGACATCATACTTAAACAACAATGATGAAATTTTCGACCCTAATGGYAACACCGCGCATGCTCAGAGTGAAACGCAGGACGATTTGGTTTCAAAGTTTGATATAGGGCCTAACGCTTCTAATGAGGAAAATGCGAACAGAAATTTACCTCCTCCTGTGAGTGAGGCAACCTCAAAGGAACAATCAGGAAGTGTTTTTCAAGACGAAGATCTTGGCGAGAAAAATGATGAGCACATTTTCTTTAAAGAGCCTGGTGCCTCAAAACTGTTCAAGGGAGGCAGACTTCAGCTATCCAATATATTGGCTAATAAGGAGCAGAATTTGAAACTTGACAAGGACCAAAAGGTTCTGCAACAATCAAATAACACGCAAAAGGTTGATAAGAATCCATATAGCATTAAAGGAAATTATCAGTGGTCGTATCCTACGTATTCCATGGCTCCTCGGGAAGAAAAAGAATACCTTCGAAAAGCTTATAGTAACAGGATCCCTCAAAAGACCCAAMAAACACCTTTTAAATCGCAAAAGCACGCAACAGAAAATTTCTTCCTTGAACCTAAACAAGCAARGACACCCTTGGGCTATAAACGACCGAAACTTATAAAAGTGAAAATCATTGATGGTTTACCAGGTTCCTTACCTGTTGTTCCAATGGAAAAGAATAAGCAGGGTTACTCGAAATCGCCTGGAGCGCCAGAAAAAGTACCAGAAATGCAATTAGATGGTAATAGTACGAGACTTCCGGCAAATCCTTCTGATGCCGAAATTCCTACGGAAGATAGTATTGGAAGACCTGACGATGAGAGTTCAAGGTATGATGCTGGAGCACAGGATAATGCGTCRGAAATGCCATTATATGGTGATAATATGGGAACACCTGATAGTCCATATGCTGTTGATAAACCCATGGAAGGTGACTCAAGATATGGCACTGGATCACAGGAGGAAKATTGGGACACTACCGTTGGAAGGCCACCTACAAATCCCTATAACGTCGAGCAACCAATTGATGAAGATGAAACAAGTCCTGAGGAGGATAATTCTAATTATGTCACAGATACAAACGAGAACGCGCCAGCTTYGGAATCCTTAGGTAACTATATAAGCCCTCCTGAAACTCCTACAGAAAATCCTGGGAATGAGAACCCYTATTACGTAGCTTCAATAAATGAGCACGTGCCGGAGTTATCTTTGGATAATAATTATGTTAAGCCTTCAAAAACTCATTATACAGCTGAGAAGACAATCGAGGAAGACAGCAGGAAGCTCGAAGATGAAACTTCTCACTAYGAAACTGACYTGTCATCTTTTGAAAAAACCAAAACGGGAAAACCGTTCCATAATCTAAAGAMTATATTAAAAAAGAAACTGGCGTTGCTAAAAGCCAAGAAGAAAGSTCAGGTTGCAAGTAATATAGARAAGTTTTTGAAAAAAGAGCCTAAAMATCATTACCAAGCTTTGGCAAAGCTRCAAGAGTCGTTTGATAATCCAGATAGGCAGAATGGAGTTTCGTATTTTGGTGCTGCTCCTCTGGCTAGGCTTCTAGAAGAAACTGACGAAGGACTGGAGAAGAAAATTGTCAGCCTGACAGGTAACTATATATTGTRACAGATRATACATGCATCAGTACTTTCGGGGAACAATGCGTCCGCCATTTGAAAAGTGATACCGAATAAGCATGTTGTGCCTTTGAACACATTTCTAATGCAACTAATCTATCAATATATCGTATTACATTAACGTTACATTGGCTGAGAAGCTTTTTTTAAAATTATGGTTTAGWGATTYCAGTTCCACTTTCAAGAAGGCGGACGCATTGTTCTCCGAAAGCACTGATGCATGTATGTAATGATGTAKTATGACCTGTGACGTAAGAAGTGAGGTTATAAACATGATAAGTATGCTGACCTTGCATGAAAAATATTGTATGCTACGGATGGAAACGTGACGYAACACCAGTACTATTAAAATGATAGTGTTCACATTTAATAATGTGGTAACTTCAAGTGTAATTACGTGACACAAATGGCATATGTATAGGCAAATGTTTTATTCGGGTTGAATGATTCTATCAGGTAAAACAAGAGAGCATGTATCAGTGCCAACTGTCTCGTCCGCCATGAAGTATGCTATGGATGCTCCAGATATTGCGGCAACTACTGYTAAGCCAGCAACCGCTGGTCCAACATACAAACATTACAAAGAGAGAACCGGTAKGTAGAGATGCTGCAAGTTTTTTAGCAGTGAAGACTGGGCCAGATTTAAGTCTGCGCTGTTAATTCCCAAACCAAGGCTTATGATACTCCAAAATACGAACCTTGAAGGAGCTGTTTATATGAGATAGGATGATCCTCTTTTGTTATCCTTTCATAAAACCAAAGTGTTAGTACTATKAACAAAATCATCCTTCCTCATGTAAGCAGGGTCTTAGTAAACAAYGAAATGATGCCATTGATTTTAATCACTTCTTGGTCACTTGTGAATGGCTGTTTCCCTCCAATGGAAACATTAGCACTGCGTTTTCAAGTATTCCAAAGTTCAAGAATAAAAATTTGAAATTTGAAATTCTCATTCTAGGTTTGTTTGGCTTTATCGATAAAGGTACCGAGAAGAAATGTAGTTCTATTGGAAAAACAGGTAATCTTTTTAGAAGTAATCTTATCTATACAAGCTGGCTTGGGTGCGTCATTAGCATTAAATTTCAATATCGCAGTTTATTTCATTGGTTTTACCCACACTACCATTCAATATCATGACGGTAATCCCAACCTCCCACACGCTAGCCGGAAATATAAACCGCAGGGAAAGCAAGTGTAAAAGTGCGAGAATACATCAGGACAAGTAATATATTTACTTGGCACCCTTACTGGCAGATTTCCCGTCTTTATCCTAACCGAATATCATAACAGACGAATTTTGCGTCTCAAAYGGATCTTTAGTCTTATTATATAAAAGCCATTCAATTTTAATATTCTATAT